CATTTATTTTATATATTTATTAATTATATACCTAAAATAATTAATCAGCCAAATTTGAATTGAATAAAATATTCGAATATTTAATCAAATTCAAATGCAAACGTTGGCTTTTAATATTTGTCAGATATCAAATCAAATGTAGATACCGAATTTTCTAATTGAATTCGAACTCAGATATTGCTTGATTCGATTCAAATTCGATCCATTTACACTGCTACCACTGCCAATCCTATTTTCAAGAAGTGTAAAATGAGATATCAAATCAAATGTAGATACCGAATTTTCTAATTGAATTCGAACTCAGATATTGCTTGATTCGATTCAAATTCGATCCATTTACACTGCTACCACTGCCAACCCTATTTTCAAAAAGTGTAAAATGTGATGATTGGCCAAAGATAAGGGAGTGCCAAACTATGGATATATTGATACATGAGTATGGATTAATTTATTTGGAATTTTAAAAGCAAGCCTGTATGAAATTATGTGAGTAATCCTCCCTCACAAGTGCTCTTTCTTATGAGAGAGGACATCTCGGGTCCCTCTCAATGGCGTAGGTGTCAATCTGCTTCTGTTCTGTAGTTTCTTTCTTTTATAATATCAGGTTGAATAAAAAAGAAAAGAAAATAAGTGCATTTAGCCAAATAAATAACTTACCCAAAAAACGAACCGGGTCTAAATTTTAACCGGACAACTTTCGGGTCTCAATGGTATTCTCAGTGGTTGAAAGAAATAAATAGGACAAGATACAATTGTACATTGTTCCATTTAAGATGATTGCTGACAGTGTTAAGATGTTAGGTGAGACTGGTCAGCACAAAGCTTTGATCAACTAAACATGCAGCGCATGGTGGGCTATTGGGGGCCCAACCGGCTATACGGCGGATCCAAGACCCACTCTTTTGACTTTATAACAACAATAATATAATAATGAATAAATAATTAGTGAAAGAGAGTGTGTAGGTGGTGGAAGAAACTCAAGTCAGTACCTAACCGCCTGTACAAGGTCGACCTGTTCAAATCCATGTTGCAGAAATTGAAACTAGCTCTCTAGAAGCCTAGATTGAATGCCCCTTCAGAGCTTTCCTCTGTTCAGATCAGGGCAGAATAACGAAGACAAGAGTAAGCAGAGTGATGAGTTAAATTTATGGATTCCTGTCTGTTAATAACCATTAGCAGGAAATTGGGTCAAAATGACAGGAACCATACTACACCCAGCATCTTTCTCTCCTAAATTTGTGTTCAATAGGATGGACCCAGAATCGCCAGAAATGAATATTATACGTGTAGAGCTCAGACAAGTTTCTGGTTAGATGATTTCTTTTGCATCAATAATTGATGAACTCAATCATAAAGATAAAAGAGATGGCCATATCATATGAGCACCGATCTGGAAACAGGAAGATTACCCATGTAAAATTAAAAGGGACCCTGAAACTGTATCCATGAATTATGAATTCATGAGTCTGGTCAGGTTAGATTCCCAGTAGTGGCATATGTTCTCTAATGGAATTTTCTAATCTTTGTTCCAAATTTTCTATCTGCCCAGATACCTTCCTTGGTTCATTTTTAAATATAAAACATTGGATGAAAGCACCTATTGTAATCGCTCTGGCAAACCAGTAGATAATCCTAATTGCCAATTAAGAAGGGTTTTAGGTGAGAGAGAAAATGAAAACAAACGGTTAGGTCAGTATTGTTTGGCAATCTAATGAGATGAAGAACAAATCCTTCTGAGTAATGAAATCTCACTTCTACATAGAATCAAAGTGAAAATTTTCTTTTGTATTGAAGTCTCAAGTCATTCTTTTGTTGTTGAAGAAACACTGTACAGTCCTTCAGTGATCATTTAATTAACCATTCTAAGCCCATAGCCCCATACTCTCTCTCTCTCTCTCTCTCCAGATACATCATAGATACATCATGTGCTTAGTACCAGTAAATTAATCTGATCATCAGACTACAGAGGATACTTGTCCTTGGGGAATTAATAGTGAAATAGTTGTTTCTCAATTCATGGGGACTGAACATATTAGAAGAAAGTTTAACAAAAGAAGGGAAAAAACTCTGAAACCACCATGAAAAAATAAATGAGAAGCATGCAAAGAGCCTGAAATTACTGTTGAGTCACGGGGTCGACCAATCAAACTAAACATAAACAAGACAGGATTATCAGAAATATAATATTGAAAAGGAATCATGAGATGAGAGTTCCATTTTCGCCATGACCCAATATTTCTCAACCTCCATGTGACCATCTCTTCCTTTTATCTTATTGTTATTTTGTCACTTTCCGTTTTATAGAACGTTTCTTATGGCAACTTCTGTCATTTTCTTCAATGACTGTGTATGTGCAAATGACTCAGCATATATTTGTATGCACTAATATGTACCAACTCTTAGCTGCTTTTGACTGAGGAAATTTTCCGGAGGACGCCGGCCATGAAGCACCTCATACAGCCACAATCTAAAGGGCTTACAGCTCAGGCTTAGCTAAGCCTAATAAAACTGCTTTTAGGCTGAAGTGTGGGATAGTTGAAGAAGCATCTAAGCTTTGATTTTGATCTCTTTCCACATAATTTTCCATTCTTTTCCCTTATAAATGTATCTACAATCACAATTTTTCTATTCCAGTGTGCATGTTTTCGTGTCTGTGTCTAAAGGAAAAAAAAAAACTATTTCAAATTTTCAAGGTTTCTCCTACATGGGTTAATCGAATGATGTCACATAGAAACCAGAACACCTCTATAGGTGAGAGAGGTGACACACAGCAATGGTCCGGTCCTATCTAATGGATTTTTCTATGCTAAAATTAAATATTCATTAGACCATTTGATATATAATTCTTTTCTCTATCTTCTACTGATTCCCTCCTCTCTAACTATTGGAAAAGATGCAGTGGAGGGTCTGAGTCCATGGTGGGTTTCTTTTTTTTTAACACAAAATCTCATGTTGGTTCAACCAAGATAGAAATACTTCTGCAAATTAGGTAGCATATATTCATGTCAAAGGTGGCATTGATGACTGATGATTTTCTTTTAATATTTTGGCGGATTTTATATTGATGATGATACTGTCATAGATGAGAAGCATAAATGAGTAGGGACCAGTCTGATTTAGACCCACTTCATTTAGAGATGAGACACAAGTCCGACCTTATTTTGTACAATAAAGAACTGCTCGACCAGAGCTCAGAAATCACTTGGGGCCGCTCTGCCTCTGCAGCATTAAAGCTGCCTAATCCAAAGGCATGACTAGCTTGGAGTTAGTGATGCACCCAACAGAGATGCGCATTTCTGGATGGCTTAAATGCCAAGGACCAACCTCAAATTGATGATGCAAAGGACTGGCCCTAGCCTTGGCATTCCCCACATCACATGCACAAGTCTCTTGCCCTGTTCTATGGTCCAGATTCCAGAAAAGTTAATGATTCCTGCTTCATAAATAACCTAGAAATATTTGAAAATAATTATTGGGTGCATTAAATCTCAAAATCATTTGCTCATAAAAGAAAGGACAATGACCAAAATCATTTGGCATTTCATGATTATTTGGCAAGGATCCATATAAATGATGATTTGGGGATGGTTATTCTTATTCTTCAAATGTAGTGTTTTTCTTCTTTTATCTTTTACTTTTTCTTCACCCAATTAATTTGGCTCTTTAAAAGGGTGAAAAAAGAACTATTAGGCTACATTTTGTTTTCATGTAAAAGGGCCTAAAATACATAACTGAAATTTTTTAGATGTTTCAATCCTAACTAGGGTGAAACCAAGGCTCAAACTATCACAACCTAACAGGTGGATATCTATGATGTATCTGTTTATAGGGTTACTCATACATTGAATAATTGGAGTTAGACCTCGTTCATAGATTCAAATATTAATATTCATCTTAACAAATATATCTTTAAACATTCTGAATCCATACTTTAAACCATGGGAGAAACAAAGAAAAAGAAAGAATGGGAGCAGAGTATCTTTCAGCATCATAATGTTAAGATACTTTAGACATTCCATATACATGTCAAGCTAAAGCAACATCTCAAAATAGCCATTGTTGTCCTCATAGGATATAGCCCTTACATGGAAAAAGGAGCCATGCATTAATTCTTTTCATGCTTGTTTATTGAAAACTGAAACTGCATTTGTTTCTCTCTAAAGTGGACTTTCTTTTTCAGATTCAAGTATTTCTGCTATTATTTGAACCCTTTTCATAGCAAAAACTTCTGTTTTTCATCCCTTCTTTTCATGATATAATTGACAAGGAAAACAAAGTATTCGCCATAAAAAAGAAACTCAGAATAGCCTGAGAAAATTTCCTTCCATTTTACATTTGAAACTAAGGCTGTGTTTGAAACCGATGTAAAATGTCATCGGTGTAAAAATACATTAATGATGTTTTACATCGAATTGTAAAAAGTGACCACTTGAGTTTCGAAAAGTGTGACAATAAAAGCGTAGACTTCTATATCAATTTTATCGATATAGTATTTACATTGAAAATTGATGTAAAACTCTACTTTAGATGAAGTTTTACATCGATTTATGACATAAAACTCCACTCGGAGTGGAGTTTTACGATTTACACTCCTTCCAAACGCCAACAAAATCCAATTGATCTTGATTTCCATCACTTCCAAACGCAGCCTAATGGAGCCAAGAGAAAATCAGAAGTTAGTAATTCTCAAGAGAATTGTACAATAGCCCTCTGCCCCCTCTTCCTGGCATGGTCTGGAATGGAACTCATGCCTATACAGGTTGGGAACTGGGATAAGACCAGGGGTCCCAGACGAAGGATCTCTCTCTCTCTCCTTTGTAGGCTGAAAATAAATTTGGAATCTGAGACAGGAAAAGGATGACATAGAGTACAACATGGACCCACTCAAAGCTGCCACCTCAGCTGCCATCCGTAATGACCTCTAGTATGGTAAAGTGGATTCCAAGTAGTCTTTCCTCTACATAGAAAACGCTGCCTGTTTTTGTTCATCAGCCTTCCAATTCCACTTACTTCAGCCAAACCCCAAGCCGAGCTTATGATCAGTCAAGAGAGCCATGAACCAAAGCCAGCTAACCAACATAGACCGTTCAAAAGCTACCTTCATTCATTTTTTTTAATTCCTTATATCTGTAAACTCTATATATAGTCGTCTCCTTCTACGTGCCTAACTTACGCCCTTGGTGGGGAGAAGGATGAACTGGGCTCCCAAGCTTCACGGCCAGAAATCTTCTTGTTCTTGCTCTTGTCTTGCCATGGACATCAGAAGCTGGTGCAATTCAGATAGCAGAAGCATCCGACTAGGACGAAGATTCACAGAGAACGACTACGCTGATTTTGAGACGTTTAGCTTGCCGGCTACCCGATCAAACACGCCGAGGTGGAGAGTGTTGTGGAGAAGGATAAAGAAAGAACAGAAGAAGTTCTTCTACTCTTCGGCTCGGTTCCAGGTTCCTTATGATCCCTACACTTATTCGCAGAATTTCGATCAAGGGTCGGCGTGGACCGAGCCTGATAACCTATCTCGGTCCTTCTCCGCTCGTTTCGCCGATCCTTCGAGGATCTTTCAGAAGAAAGGGTTGGTGGGTTGATGGGACTCGGGAGAAACGAGAAAGGAAACTTTTTTGTGTTCATATCTTCAGATCTTTATTCTGTATGGACACCCATTTTCATTCAGTTGTGATGCTTTCTCTGTCAATACCAGTCAGTTCCATACGTTTCTGATCTCTTCCTTATTTCATGGTTAATTAGTACTCCATCTGGTATATGGACGATTAACTCTGGTTAATGGTAATCTCATTATCAATCAATTAATTTGTTATTTCCTTCCTAAAAATTTGATGGCAGCAGGCTGTTTGCATTTGCAGCTTTATTTCTATGAATCTCTTTTTAAGTGAACCTGTTTGCTGAAGGTCTATCAATTTCATGAACTTGCTGTCGTTCTCGTTTGCTGAAATGTCTGAAATGCAGTTTTTATTAATGGGTTTCAACTTTCAACCGGGGAAGTGAAGAAGCATGTCCAAAGACTCCATTCCAAACTGAAGATCTGAATCACCAGCTTGAAAGTACTTCATTCTTCTTTTATCTTTTACTTTATTCGGCAGCAAGAGAAGATGCTTGGAGGCCAGGGGCTAATGGCCGCTCAGCCAAACTTTCTCTGTTGATAGTGGACGGCACCACAATCAAAAGCAGAAGGAATCTTGCAGCATTTGATTTGTTTTCCTGGATTCTGCTTACACTGTGCAGGAAGTTGGGTTTCTCTCCAGACAGATGCCTGTTGGTAGGTTTGGGTCTGGACTCTGGAATCAATGGAAAGCCAAAATACGACTATCTACCTGCGAAAGGGATCTGGTCTGGTGGCCCAAAATGCACGAATTACTTGTGCTAGAGCCAAAAACCATACTGATTTCAAGAGTCCTACCGTCCCATCAAACGCCTAACTTTCACAGGGCTAATAGAACCATGAGTTTTCTGTCTTTCTCTGCTAAAAAAAATACATCAACTCAATGACTAATGAATTTTCTTGATGACCCAATCACCCAATTGATCAAGTTATCTGTATCAGTTTCCCGAGATAAGAGAAGTAATTAATATGAGTTATGACTTTTAGCTGTGTATAAGCCTCAAGCCAAAACTCCCAAGCATATTTGATTGCAAGGAAGCCTCAGTAGGGCCCTTCACGGATCACTAGCTGGCCAAACTGTATGTTACTAGTATCTTCATACGTAACAAAAACAGAGGTCTCTGTCACCCAACTATTTCATCTTTATTTCGGCTAAAATGTTAGCTGAAGAATCAAAATTCGTGCTTGAAAGTTGAAACCCATCAATCTATGGCTCTTCACGCTTTATGATCAGATCAGAGAAGTTCCATCAATCTGTTTGTTTCAGTGTCGAGAAGCGCCAAAGGCAAAGTCTTTGTCATACAACTGTTTATCTGTGAAGATCATCTTTATATTATAACTCACTATTTGTAGCCATGAGTCACAGAAATCCTTACAGTGAAGTTCATGTCGAGAAGATTATTGCTCGACAAACCCTACTGCAACTTTATCTTATTCACAGTAGGACTCATCAGAACTCAGGACTGATCATTAAGATGACAAATGGAAAGGTGAAGCACTGAAGCATATCTGCACACTTCAATGGTAGGCAATCTTCTGGACTGCCCACAACCCAAGATTGCACGGGCTAAAAGTATTTGGACCCTCATCACTAGAACTAAAATTTGGACGACTAACTGAAGAAGGAACCATGGTTATCACATACAGATTTCTCAACATAGGTGAGTCTTTAGTGGTTTGAGATGGTTCACCTTCATTTGGTACCGTGTCTTCCAAATTCCAATCAAACGCTTTTCAGTCTCATATTATTATATTGCTTTGTAACAGAGATTATTAAGTCATGATTAATCATGCTCTTTCCCATATATTATCTCTATTGGTGGAAGGTCAAGATCACACCAAGAGTGACCCCATCCATATTTGATAGAGTTTTTGAGACGAAAGTTTTGAATAAATGCTTTAGATTCCTCCTTGGGATGGCCTAAAAAAAAAAGAAGTTATTCCAAGTCCCTAATGGCCTAATACCTCTATTTAGGCAATTAGTCTCCGTTTGGATAAGCCTTTGCTTTTGACTTTTTTAGCTTTGGACCATGGGAAACAAAAGTGAGCCAAAAAGTGTTTTGAGTTGTTTGGTGAGAATTGTTTTTAAAAACATAGCAATCTAAGGCCAAAAACACTTTAAGCCCCAATGCAGAAAACTCAAAATTGGGGCCTTGTTTCTTTGGGCGTCGAAAGCACCAATATTGAAGCTTATCCAAACAAAACCGGATTCAGTCAGTGGAAAGCCCGTTCGAACAATCATTATAGCTTTGCTTTGGGAAGAAATAAAATGCAGAAGTACGGAGATGTTCCCAACACAAGTCTGTAAAGGCTGTTCGAATAGGCATTGCACTGACTGAAGCCGATCTCTATCCAAACACAATAATATCTGCTTTCTCCCCATTTAAGTTTTCATTTGTGTCTCCATAAATGATTTACCTGGGTAAATGCAATTATTTCAACAAATGTTTCTTTTATTCCCTATGTGAATGGAGATGAAAGCTGCTCCCCCAAATGTTTCACATGCACATTTCAACGTGTATTGGGTACATCTCCCGAAGTTATCAGTGAGAGATGTTTCCACTACATGATTGGGATTTGGAATATGTTGTGGGACGCTTGTGGAGTGTAGATGTGAATTCATGTGAAGGTGTATAATATAACATATTTGTCCAAAAAAGTGACAATATTATTGAAGGAACAATGGGTTGAACAAGGAAATAAACCCATCACATATTAGCGATTTTCGATGAGACCCACTAATACTAGAAAACAAATATGGGTTTATTTCCTTTACATGGGACCTACCAATTTACATGGTTTTATTTCCTTTACATGTGACCTAGTTAATACAATTTAATGATAAAACACAAGCCCAATAGTTAAGAAGGAAGATTAGAAAGAAAAGGATATGGCTTTAAATTTAAGGAAGGAAACTCTCTCACTCTTGGAGCCAATCTTGTCACCTCCAGGTTGCAGGTTCAGTCATGGGTTACGTGCTAATGAAAAATAGCTAAATAACAGTTGTGGCAAACATGACCATGACACTCAAATTGGTGACAGGGAGAAATCCTTTGACCAGTAAGTATCATCTCAGCCAAGCTTCCGTTTGCCTTTAACCAAGAATTACGTGTGCACTTCGGTATTTGCCATTTAGCCTGGACACAATTCCTTTTTCATTCTAATGACAACATCCAAGAACAGCTGCCCTCAACATCACACATAGTGATAGTGTTGGGTCTACTCACATCCACACGTACCCATAAGACACAACTGCAAGTATTGGAAATATCTTCAAGAGAACAATTAGGGGTGTCAATACCGAATATGCGATTTTGAATTCAAAATTCAATATAATCAAATTGAATTCAGATAATTTAAATATTTTATTCATATTGAATAGTTAATCGGATTCGAATTCAGATATGACCTGATTCAATTCGATAAATATCTGAATTCAACCGATTATTTATTTCTTATATATAATATGAAATATTTAAATTTCTTATATAATTATATAAATAATTTATATATTTATATACTTTATATAAATAAAACTTATTTTATATATTTATTAATTAGTCAAATTCGAATCCAATCGAATATTCGAATTCAAATATTACTTTTTAATTTCCATCGGATATCAAATCAAATTCTGATATCGAATTTTCTAATCGGATTCGAATTTGGATATTGCTTGATCCGATTCGAGTTCAATCTGGTTTTACACCCCTAAAAACAACCACCAAAAGACACTACTGCTGTGTATTGAGAATATCTGGCTTGTCATTCATGAGGAGATGTTCCCAATCCTCACCTGAGGTGTCTTGTGGGTAGGTAATTTCTAAATTTTGATGGACAATGGTTTAGAGGCCGTTTAGTTTCATTTCCATTTATCTAATAAACGTTTTGTATGATTTTTTTTTTTTGTTTTGGAAAAGTGAGAGAAGTTGTTGATAAATATTTATTAGCATTTTTTGACGGCTAAAGGCCACATATGCCTTAGCATTGGGGGGAAAATTTCCGATCAGTATCCTGTACTTTGGCTCGAGTGACAATTTAGTCTCCAAAATTTAAAATGTGACAATCCAATATTCAAACTTTCGAAATGCGATAATTCGGTACCTGCTGTTAAGTAACAAGTAAAAAGATATAAATGACCCTTAAGTATCATTTAATTTGCTTTGTCAATCATCCGCTAAAATCAAAACCAACCTACCGACACAAAAAAAGGCAAGTTATGCAGAAAATTCAAATTTCAGATGTGCGCTCAATGCTTCTTTAACCAATTTTCAATTTCCCCCCTGGTTGTAAGTGATGAAAAGAATGCTCCACCAGAAGAGAAAATCTCAAATATCTCGTCGCTTTAGTATTAACTGAAAATCAAATGGAATAAAACAGAGTTACCGATTGACATGTATATTGAATCTTCTACAAATACGCAGAGAAAATTGGGCTTGTCAGCTAAACACCAACACCAATACCCCTGACCTCAATTTATTGCCCCGCCCTCTTTCATCTGTTGATCATCCACTTAAATTAATAGCATGCAATTATCTTTATTAAGTCGTACATGGATACATAAAATGAAATGGATCCCCACTAACAGTCCTCCCTACTCTTCCCCTCTCAATCGGATAGTCCAGCCTTGCTCTTTAAGTGCTGCCTGAAACCCAATTGAAATGGTTGAATTCAAAAAAAATGGTTTTGCATTTTAGAACAGAATAGAGTAATTGAGGGGAGAGAATGACAGAGACACACACAGATACAGAGGGAGATACGTTCCAGAGCAGAGCTTTGGAGCTGCGAAGAAATTAAGCACAGTTGCTTCTTGCACACTCGGCATGCACGTCGAAGCTATTGTCCATCGACAATCAGGGTGAGGGGGAACTAGCTAGGAAGGTTTCTGCTTTCTGTGCTTTTGAAGGAGATTTTTGGCTCGAGTGAATTTGGTGCAAGACTGGGCTTTCAGGACTGATGCCCCAAAGCTTTCTCTCAATTTAGTTTTTCAACCAGATTTCTCTCTCTCTCTTTCATTTGTTAAAGAAGAAGATAATGAACTGTGTATTTTATTTTTAAGGGATTTTGATATTTTTAAAAGTTTTAAATCACACATGAGGTTACGTGATATACATAACTGACGGTCCATTAACGGCAGGKACTAGATTGACATGTTTTTAAAGTTTGGATACTGAATTGTTGCATTTTAAAATTTGGAGACCAAATTGTCACTTGAACTAAAGTATACGATACTGATATGGAATTTTCCCAATTTTTTAGTGTTTCCTCCAACTCTCACACAATTCAAGAATAACATTTTTCTTGATAAATGGCTCAACCAAAGAAAATTCGGAAAAGTATAGACATGCCTAATGCAGATTTCTGAATTCCTCACAAATCTATAAACATTAAAAAGGTCAAAAATCCACACTCTATGCACCCATATCTGCTCGTGAATTGGCATCAATTCTGAGCTAGCACTTACCCCAACTGACCTTTGGGCCTATGAATTCTAACCCTGGGCTGAATGGTCATTCTCCCAAGAAAATTTTGATCTTCATTGCAGGAAATGCTTATTCGGTGCTGAATCCATACCAATTATTTGATAAGATGGTCTTTGGTTCTATTACCATTTAGCAAACAATCAATGCCAACTCAGCACCAAATAGGCATTTCCCCCAATGGATCTTGAAATTTTGTTTGGTTAAATTGCTTATCAAGAGAACATTTTGTGAGGGATATTGAGAGCCATCCCTTGGTGGAAGCCCCCCCCCCCCCACCCCACCCCACCCCACAATGGTAAGACGTGTTTTCACTGTTTGGCACATGTGACATTTAATGGTCTCTAACTGTCTAAATACACTAATAATGTTTCTCAACAACCTTTATCTTTTTTCAAAAAAATGCCATACAAAATGTTTATTAGGGGGTGTTCCTATTTTGGATTTTGAGAGGGGGAAAGTTGGTCAATCCCATTGACCAAGAAACTCGTGTTCTTTTTTCAGATTTGTGTGGTGACCAGGGAAATTTATTTTTCTAGGTATGTAAATAACTTTCTCACTTGGGGGAAAGTTAACAACACTTGGATGGGACAAAATATCCCTTTAATAATAGATTTTTATGGCTAAAATGGTCATCGTCTTATTTTCCTAGGAAATAAAAGAATATGGATAAATGCACTTACCTCGATAAGAATTTTATCAAAAAGTGAATGGGGCCTAATAAATGCTTAAACGGCAATGGAACTAAACAGATCCTTAATCAGCTTGGAGTTTTTACTATAGTTACATTCAAGTTTAAATAAGGGAAATTATCTAAAACCTCCCTTTACTTTGTTGAAAATGTCTAAAATTTCCTCCTCCCCTTCATACTCCAATCTTTGTTGTGGTAATTGAAAATGTAAAATTGCACCCTATCCATACTCCATTTTATACCCTTTAGAGTGCGTTCTTTTCTGGATTTTGAGAGAGGGAAAAGTTGGTCAATGGGATTTTGGTTCCCATTGACCAAGAATCCCATGTTCTTTTTTCACATTTATGTGGGGACTAAGAAAAGTTTATTTTCCTAGGTATCACTAATTCGGGTAAGTAATACCTATCTCCTAGGTGGGTAAATAACTTTCCTACCTAGGGGAAAAGTTCTCACACTTGAATGAGACAAAAATGCCCCTTTTAATAATGGAATTTTGTGGATAAAATGGTCATTTATCTTATTTACTTGGGAAATAAAGAACATGGGTAAATGCACTTACACAGATAAGTGTTTTCTTATCCAAGTAATTGTATTTACCCGGGTAAATAACTTAACGAAAAGCAAACGTACGGTA